AGAAATACCCTACCAATTTCAAAGACTAACGATGTTGTTCAAGTATTTTGTTAAATTGACCGCCTGTCTATTCTAGCATTGTTTCCGATTAGGAGTGAGTCTTTTTTAAAAAATTGGACAAATGAATTATTTTCCCCCCAACATGTGGCTGCTACATGTACACTAATGCAACGGTAAAGGAAGCTTCACTGTCAATATAACAGATAGACCCTTTACTCTTAAATTTGTACACGCTAATCTGCCTATATCAGGAGTGATCAAAGATATTCTCTTGCTGTGAATTAAATATATGTACATAAAAGGATATATATATATATATATATATATATATATATATATATATATATATAATATATATATATATACATAATACATATATACATATATACATATATACATATATACATATATACATATATATATATATATATATATATATATATATATATATATATATATACAGAGAGAGAGAGAGAGAGGGGGAGGGGGGGAGGAAGGGAGAGAGAGAGAAAGAGAATAGTTTTTACTGAAAATCTTACATTGGGAGTTGCATAGAATATATCTTTGTATTTTACTTTTTTCTATATTACGCTAGAGTCAACCTACAAAATAATTTTGCCGTCAGTCCTAACGTAAAAATGGCAACCAATGAACAACCCACCCGATACGTAAGTCAAAATACTGACATGTTTTGATTTTTATGGATTTTACTCTTTGTTGATATGCGTATGTGTATTCTTCCAACAGTCAGCATTTTTGGGGTGCTATATATATATAAATATATATATTACAAACTATTCTAAAAATACGAGTTCCAGGTATATTAGTAAAAAAAGAAACAGACATACTGCGAACTCTGGAACTTAAGATTCATATACATATACATATATACATACATATACATATACATATATATGTAGGTAAGCAAGCATACAGCTTACCAGGAACATGGGATAAAAATACATTTTAATTGCAAGTCACCAGAACAAGATGTCAGTATAGCCATTTTAATCACCTGCAGAGAAACGACAGAAAATCATTAAAACAGTCAATCATTTAGATATAGTATATTTAATGTTTTTTTAAAAAAATTCTCCGGAAAATATGCACTGGGAAAAAAAAAGGAAATGGACATTACATCCAACTGTATTTAGACTTAAAATAAAACAGAAATTATTGCAATAGAAGTGATGATGATGATAATGACAGATAAGGTCATGTAAATTTGCCTGGTCATTTTCAGCTTAGACAGGAATAGTTCTAGTGGAATAATCATAACAACAACTAAAAATTAATATTGTCCTATTGGTGATGCTTTTAAGTATGAAAAATAGCCACTAATATTTAAAAAAATTATAGCCGAAGACCCTTCTCGTATTTAGAGGTAAACATTTATTCCAAATGGGCATTGTATTGATTCGGTGAGAATATGTCTTGTTTGATGAAAATGTGATATACCCTGTTTCCCTGAAAATAAGACATCCCCTGATAATAAGCTCAATCGGGCTTTTGAGTGCATGTGCTAAAATAAGCCTCCCCCTAAAATAAACCCTCCTCAAAAATATTTAAACGCAGAGCTGGAAAACAGGTAAGATGGCAAGAAGGGCCCCATCTTGCTCCACTCACCCCAAGATAATAATACCTCCCTGAAAGTAAGGCCAAGCGCTGATTTCAGGGTTCAAAAAAATATATAAGACAGGGTCTTATTTTCGGGGAAACACGGTAGTTAAGAAACCATCTGCAGTGAAAAGGCCAGGATGGGCCTCAGTATTGCCAGCCTATGAAATGGGTCTATGCTGTTGACATCCTCAAACCTCTATTACAGTTCATTTCAAAAGAAACTAGGAGGAGGAATATATTGCCGGGCTTATGAAAGACAACCTTGCAAAATGACATAGGCTTAATTTGAGGTTATATTTCCCCCGAATCAACCGTGCCTCTGACTGGGACAATCAGATGGGTAAATCTGCTCAAATGCTCAAAAAAGGACAGAATTAAACCAAGGTGAACTATATCTGGAATGAGCTCCCCCCAGAGATACAGAGGATCCCAGATTTACGCGCCTTCCACCGTGCCCTCAAGACAGATTTATTGCAACAGGCTGGCCTGGCCTAACTTCCCTTTTAATTGTAACTTTTAAAATTGGTTTTAAAACATTAGGGGTGTTTTAAATTGTTTTGGGCCAAATTATTTAATGGGTTTTTATATTGTCTTTTAAATTTTGTAGTTTGTGTGTTTTATTTTTCTGGCTGTTCACCGCCCTGAGTCCTTCGGGAGTAGGGCGGCATATCAATCTAATCAAATGAAAAATGAAAATGAAATAGGCTTAACTTGAGGTTATGTTCCTGAATCAACAAAGAGCCTTGGTAGTACAGTGGTCTAAGGCACTCTGTTATTAAGCTGGTTATTAAGACCAGCTGCCTGCAATTACTGCAGGTTCAAATCTCGCCAAGGCTCAAGGTTGACTCAGCCTTCCATCCTTTCTAAGGTAGGTAAATTGAGGACCCAGTTTGTGGGGGCAATAAGCTGACTTTGTATAAAGATACAAAAGGATGAAGGCTATTGCTGAGCACATTGTAAGCCGCCCTGAGTCTCCGGAGAAGGGCGGCATATAAATCAAATAAAAAACAAAACAAAAAACTGTGCTTCTGATTGGCACTTGCCATTCAACTGCAAACCAACCAGAGGGGTAGATCTGTTCAAATGCCCAGAAAAAGGAAAGAATTATTTATTTATTTATTTATTTATTTATTTATTTATTTATTTATTTATTTATTTATTTATTTATTTATTGAATTTCTATACCGCCCTTCTCCCGAAGGACTCAGGGCAGTGAACAGATTAAGATTTCATATACATATAATAATTAAACCAAGGTTAACTGTAAAAGAGCCTTGGTAGTACAGTGGTCTAAAGCACCCTGTTATTAAGACCAGCTGCCTGCAATTACTGCAGGTTCGAATCTCCCCAGGCTCAAGGTTGACTCAGCCTTCCATCCTTTCTAAGGTAGGTAAATTGAGGACCCAGTTTGTGGGGGCAATAAGCTGACTTTGTATAAAATATACAAAAGGATGAAGGCTATTGCTTAACGCATTGTAAGCCGCCCTGAGTCTCCGGAGAACGGCGGCATATAAATCAAATTAAAAAAAAAAACAACTGTTAACCCGACCAAGTTTGGATCTTAACCCTGCTGTCTTTTCTCCAAGGGGGTCATCTCAATGGGTTGGTAGTGATGGACCATGGATAGCTTTTTCTCCTCCTCAACCTTGGTGGCGCAGCAGACTAAAGCGCTGTTAAGTAGCACCAGCTGCCTGCAATTGATGCAAGTTCAAATCTCCCCAGGCTCAAGGTTGACTCAGCCTTCCATCCTTTCGAGGTAGGTAAAATGAGGACCCAGTTTGTGGGGGGCAATAAGCTGACTTTGTATTTAAAAAAAAGAACACCACTTAGGGGGGCCCCGAAAGCCTTACTAAGCAGGTATGTACAGAAGTACGAAGGCTATTGCTTAACGCATTGTAAGCCGCCCTGAGTCTTCAGAGAAAGGGTGGCATATAAATCGAACCAATAAATAGATAGATAGATAGATAGATAGATAGATAGATAGATAGATAGATAGATAGATAGATAGATAAATAAATACATCTTTCTGGCTTTTGCAGAGATCCCCTAGGGACGCAGAAGCTCTGGTGTTGGAAGTCAACATCTCTCCATGTTGGGTGGGAAGTGGGGGAGAGGGAGAGAGAGAGAGAGAGGGAAGGGAAGGGATGGAGAGAAGAGGTGGCACCCTGGGCTGACCTGGGCTGTGAGGGGAACCGATCTCTTGGCATTCACCGCGTGCCTTAATTGTATGGACATTAAATCAAGGTCCGCTGTGAACACGCAGAGAAGGGCCCAGGAGGTGCGGGCGAGCCAAGGGGACGCGCAGTCAGAGATGGGGTTTTTTTTTGGGGGGGGAGTGGGGGTCGCCACAGAGGAGAAAGGCTGAACCAGGTTACGTTAAGTAAGGCTCCATTTACACCCCGCGGGCCGGGGATGCCCACCCACCCACCCCAGAGCCCGCAATTGCTTGCCACACTAAGGCAGAAAGGGGGGGGGGGGGGGCTTTCCTAGGACGAATGCCAGCTTCCACGCACCACTCGCTCCCCTTGGCACAACCCTCGCGCGCCCTGCAGAAATCCACGCACCGTCCCAAACCCCACCCGGCGCTATTGCGCTTGGCTTTCAAGCCCTTGGGGGTCCCTTCCTTGCAGCCCCCCAACCCCCACCTCTCCCAAATAAGCTGCAGCCGCCCGAAATAGGCAACGGATCCCTTCACGCCCACCGCCTCCCTCTCTCTCTCTCTCTCTCTCTCACACACACACACTGGGTCGCGCGCGCGCGCGGCCGACACACACACACACACACATACACACTCGCGATGGCTCACTTCCTTACACCCACAGAGGGCAGCACAGCTAATCGCATGCAGCGATAATCACACATTACACCTTCCTCAGACGCCACTGCAGTGTGCGCGCGATACAACCTCACACTGCAGCCCCCCCCCTCTCACCATCCCCCAGATGAAGATGGCTTCCTTCGGGGTTTTTTTTGGGGGGGTGGTGGTGGTGGTGGGGCGGCACAATGTCCAGTTTCTCCAGGCTGACCCCAATAGGTGCAATCTGACCCACGCATGAAAGAAAGAGAGAGAGAGAGGGAGAGAGGGAGAGAGCAGGGAGGGAAGTTGGAAGGAAGGGAGGAAGGAGAAAGGAAGGAAGAAAGGGAGCGAGACAAGGAAGGAAGGAAGGAAGGAAGGAAGGAAGGAAGGAAGGAAGGAAGGAAGGAAGGTCAGCAGAAATATTCTCATTGTGCCCAGAGAAAGAAATATCGGCCTCTATGTAGAACTCACAGCCTCCTCATTGTGAGGCGAGAGCTCCACCTCTAGGCCACCGCACCACTAAACTATCATTGATGCCATCTTGAAATTTCTGATGACACCCTGAAGACTCTCTTCTCAAGACAAGATTCAGAATGATGTCTCTAGCATCACTCACCTATTTATTCCAGTTTATTTGTTCACTCACAGAAAGATAAACTTTGCCATCTTTTAACTGATTTTACCACTCTGGATTTCTTCCATTTTTAGCCTCTATTCCAGATTATTAAGCATTTGAGAAGGTATCATAAAAGAATGCAGGATACTCACAGAGTAGCATAGCTGAAACCTATCTTCAAGATCATCTAGTTCACACTCAAGAACTGTCTGCAAACTTCTTCATAACAAAAAGAAATAGAAAATAAAATATTATATGAAGTTCTTTCAGCAGATATTAAAACATTGCCAATCAAAAATACATCCTGGAATGGTTTCACATTTTTATAAGCCTGAGAACATAAAGAAAATCCCCAGACTGGTCCATGCAACCATGAATAGATTCAAGCTTCCCTCTTTTGAGTCATCATATCTAGTGCTGGAGTTAGAATGGCTAACTTGATCCAGATAGTCAAGTACTTGGTGAGAAGATTCAGAGAAGATATATGTATGACTGCTCCAGAAAAACCTTTGGATCCAGATAATTTAAAAAAACTAACTTAGTGGGTAATACCCTCTCCCCAGGCCAAATAGTATACCCAATTTTAAAGGGGACATGCTTCTATTGGGATTTGGGTCATACTGGGATTTACTAAACTAGGCTGAGACACCAGTTACATTGGGCAAAAGAGAATGTTCCTTCTCCTAGACCAAAGGTCTCAAACTTAACGCCCGTGGGCCGGATCTGGCCCACTGGGTGCTTAGATCTGGCCCGTGGGGCTGCCCTGGAAACAGCGAAAGATGGGCCGTGGTGCCTCTGGCATCAAAAATGGTGCTCGGGAGGGCTGCATGAGCTCCGTTTTCACTGGCAGAGCGCTCGGGCCGCCATAGGCTCCCCCACTATGAGTGATGTCAAGCTGGCCACGCCTCTTGGCCACTCCCCCCCCCGAGGTCAAACACAACCCTGATGCAGCCCTCAATGAAATTGAGCTTGACACCCCTGTCCTAGACAGTTCAGAAGAAGTGTGTGATGGCTACTATATTTCTAGACATGTTTTGGAATAAATACATTTTTGTCATAAATCTGTGGCTTATTATCCTTGCTTCTGCTGAAAAATTGAACAAAATCTCTATGCTTACAGAGAGCACAAGCTAGTGCTTTTAAAGGACATTTAATAAATCATTTCCACACGAATACAGAGATGGGAGCCTAAGGAGATCCCATAAAGAGAAAAAAGCAGAAAAAAGCAGATAGACCTCAGTCTTTTTCTTCCCCTTAACTAGGATGGACTTCTTGCCTTTGGTTATGCATAGAGAACACTTTCTCTGTCAGCCATTACAGCTATGTAACTGGAGGTCTTCTACTCCACGGGTGTCAAACTGGTGGCCCACAGACTGGATGCGTTACACGCAGGCCATGCCCATCCCAGCTCCGCGAAAAACATCACAAAATTTCACATGACGGCGTTAGTTTGACACCCGTGTTCTACTCTAGGTTACTCCACTATGACAACTCAAATCAAGAGAAGGGATGTATCCCTACTGCAGAAGGGATGAGGGGAGAAATGACAAATGATTTGCTGATCTCTACACCTACAGTCATCTTAAACCACATTCAAATGTTAGGATTTCATTACTTTTGGCACATCCTTTGAAACAGAAACATGGTTTTGTCAGTTGTAGGGAGAGTGCAATGACTGGATAAAATCAGTTAAGACTCAATGTCCCTAGTAAGTTGATAGGACTGAATTCATTTACCTTCCTAGGACAGGGCTTAGCTCTTTCACATCACTGAGAGTTGGCTTTTTGTTAAGCAGCTTTTTAAAGACGGCAAGTGGGAAGGGTAAGTAGGCAGTGATTTGGTTGGCTATTGAGAGTCCACAGAGAATACCAAAAAGGAAATATTTATTCTTCTCCACAGAAGGCTGCAAGAACAAAACAGCAAGAGAACATCACCACAACTCCCAAGAAGCACAGTCAATGAGAAGGAATACAGATTACTTTTGCAACATTTAAAGGGACACATGTTTGTACAATGGGATAAACAGCCTAGTACAGTGATGGTTAACCTTTTTGTCACTGTGTGCCGAAAACGCGCGCATGCCGGCACCCATAATGCAATGTGTGCATGCCGCCCCTGCCCCGCCCCCTGCGCATGCACGCCCCACCCCTGCATATGCGTGAGCGACCCCCCCTGCGCTCACCCCGCACATGTGCATGCAACCCCCCTGCACCCTGTTTTGGGCCTAACAGGCCTCCCTGCAGCCTCCTGGGACCAAAAATGGGCTGTGGGGGGGAGGGCGCCCCCACGCTCCCATTCCCCGTACAATCACGCACGAACCCCCCCATGCATGCGCGAGTGTTTCCTGTATGTGCCCTGGGCCTCCCCGCGCATGCGTGGCAGAGACCCGAAAATCAGCTGGCCAGTGGGAGGCACGCACGTATGCGCGGTGGAGCTGAGCTGGCGTGCCCGCATAGAGGGCTCCGTGTGCCACCTGTGACACACGTGCCATAGGTTCGCCATCCTGGGCCTAGTAAAATGAAGAGTAGTATTAGGCCACCTAGAGTATGAATCACCAACTTATTTAGTTGCACTTTAATATTCTACTAGAGCCTACTTTATTTTTATCCTGACTTCCTTATTTTTATAACTAAATCAAGATGATGAACATACCTACTCCTTTCTCCTCCTCTTCTTCCCACAAGAACAACCCTATGAGAGTTGTTGGACTGAGAGAGAGTGATTGGCCCAAGATCATCCAGCTGGTTTTCAGGCCTAAGGCAGGACTAGAACTCACAGACTCTAGATTTCTACGTGCTACCTTAACTAATAGACAAAATCGGCTCTCTTGTTTTTTTCCTGCACCTAAGAATTAGTCTGCATTTTCCTGCAGCTAATGGTGAAATAGTATGACCTTATGAAAAGTCTTATCTCTTCCTGACAGACTTCTTATATTACCCTGTAAGACATCATGAGAAAAAATATTTTCAAATTAGTGCTCTTTATCAATGTGCAAATTGCGGAGTGGCTAAATACTTCCTTTCATTCAGATCAAGTTTTATAGTCCTATTGGAAGTTAAAACCCACCCCTCTCCTAGAAAAATGAAATATTTTAGGAAATATTAAAAAGAGCTGTAGGAAGTTAGTACCCACCCCTTTCCTGGAAGAGTGAAATATTTTAGGAAATATGAAAAAGGCAGCAGAATATTATATTCCCTGGATGAGAAATGGATAAGCATGTTTTGAAGCAGCTCCCATCTTCCTGCCCCCACCCTTTGTCAATGGGCTATTAAGGCCTGGGCCAGTCTATTCTACATAACAAAGATCTACCTCCTTCAGGCAGAGCCATAGTAGGAATTGCCAAAGATCCAACAAAGGTAGGATTAGCCCCCTACACAAAGCAGCAGAAACTCACCACATGTGACCTGGGAAGCACATGTGACCATCAGCCAGCAAGGCTAGCTAAGACCCCCACCCCCTGGGAGTCTGACAACCAATCAGGACACTCTTTCTGGGCCCCAGGAAGTTCAGAGCCAGGGAGAGCATAAAAACCCGAGGATTTACTGTATCTGCCCTTTTCTGTTCAGGAACTCAAGCCATGTTTTTTCAAAAAAAAAGAAAAAAAAAGTGATCCTGTCCACCATTAAATCATCTTTCCAAGCAGTCTCCATGTTTCCAGTGTCTTTTTCCCCACTTGGAGCAGAACCTAGAAGGAGATTTCTTCCAACAGAGCAGAATATTTCCTCCTAAAAGGGAGACAGAAACTCATCCCCCCCACTTTGCCAATGGGCCATTAAGGCCTCAGCATCCCATCTGCAACACAAAGGACCCATCTAGCAGCAGAAACTCATCACATGGCACCTGGGAAGATTACATTAGCCAGCAAGGCTAGCTAAACCCCCGGCTCCCTGGGAGTCTGACAACCAATTAGGATATATTTCTTATACAGGAAGAGGAAACACTAAGGTGGGGCCCAAGAGGGTATAAAACCAAGGGACTCTCAGCATCTCGCCCCTTTTTCTCATTTTTTCTTCACCCAAAATCTTCAAGGCATATGATCCATTAAAATAAGGTGACCAGAGTCCCGCTTTTGGCGGGACAGTCCCGATTTTTAGCAATTTGTCCCGTGTCCCGCGGTGTTTCAAAAAAGTCCCGATTTTTCATTCTGCCTCCTGAGTCCCGCTGCCTCTTAAGCCCCAGCTGATGGCTAGAAGAAAAAAAAACTGTTTAAACTCTTGCCGGGGCTTCAAAGGGCCGCCCTACAGGCAATCAGTGTAAAGAGTTCCTGAAGCAGTTTTTTTTCCCCTAGCTAAGCTGCAGAAACGAAACCGAAACCAGGATCTTTGGTGCAACGTGACAAAATGAGGCAGAGAGAGATTTATTTTTATTTTTATTTTTCCTCCCCAAAAAAGGTAGGTGAAAAACTGCAAACAATGGGAAATTTAGGAGGGAGAGTTCAAGATTTTAAAAACACAAAGAAAAAAGCTGTATTTAACTAGGAAATTGTAATAATTGAGATACTATTAATTGTATATTGTGTTGAAAGCAGAAATGGTTAAGTTGTGGTTCAGAGGAATATATGGGGGAAATTATTTGGTTTATTATTATTGGTAAATATAATTAATTGATTTGTAAGAAATTGGATTGCATGGAAATAATTGGAATATTCATGTTCATATTGATTAATATACAAAAAAGATAGTTTTATAACTAATTGATTTATATTAAAATGTTGAATTTATATTAAACAACTGTATTACATAATTACATAATTAAACAATGTGAGGATGGATATAAAAATAGATGACAATGGGAAGGGGTATAATATAGAATAGAAGGGAAAAATTGAATTTGATTAAGATTAGAGATGAGATGAAGGGTAATATTGGTTTTTTTAAAAAAATAGATGAGGAATAAATATGGCAAAAAGGAAATATAGAAATTGTAAATTTAATTGAAGTGACTAAACACTGTTTAAATTTGTGAACCGGCCAAATACTCTGTTCAAAGAAAATACATTGTATGTTTGTATGTGTATTTCTAATTATTGTTATTTATTCATATTTGTTCTTTTTTATTCTTTAAAGTTTAACAATTCATTCTTTATCTTAATATCTTTATATTTGTTTGGGGTTGGCTTTCTTCCCTTTCATCTTTTTTATTGTACAGCAATCTTTCTCCTCAAACCTACCACCTCTCTCTTTTCTTTCCTTCTTACTTTCTCTTCCTCCCCTTCTTCTTCTCCTCCCTACTTCCTCTTCCTTTCTCCTTCTCCTCCTCTCTTCCTCCCACTCTTACCTTCACTCCTACTCTAATTTCCCTTCCCTTCCTTCATCCCTCTCTATTGCTGTATCCTTTTATGCATATGGACTACTCAGAGGGCTGAAAAAGTTATTTTTGACTGGTCCTCGCACTTTTGACCAGTCCTCGAACTTACGACTGTCCTCACATTTTACATTTTTGCCCTATCTTGTCATCATGGTGAAGAGAAGCAGTTGTGAAATGAGTGACATGGTTGTTAAGAATGCTGCATGGGCATAAATATGAGGATGGTCATAAGTGTGAGGACCAGTCAAAAGTGCGAGGACCTGTCAGAAATGACTTTTTTCAGCCCTCTGGTTAGTCCTTTTGTGCATATGGACTACTCAGAGGGCTGAAAAAGTTATTTTTGACTGGTCCTCACACTTTTGACCAGTCTCGAACTTACGACTGTCCTCACATTTTACATTTTTGCCCTATCTTGTCACCATGGTGAAGAGAAGCAGTTGTGAAATGAGTGACATGGTTGTTAAGAATACTGCACGGGCATAAATGTGAGGATGGTCATAAGTGTGAGGACCAGTCAAAAGTGTGAGGACCTGTCAGAAATGACTTTTCAGCCTTCTGAGTAGTCCCTATACACATAGCCATGGCCACCGGTCACATGACCAGCTAGCCACGCCCACCCAGTCACATGGCCTCCAAGCCACGCCCACACAATAAGCCACGCCCACAATGGTGTTTCTTACCAATGTTAAAATCTGGTCACCTTACATTAAAACCATCTTTCCAAACAGCCACCATGTTACCAGTGTCTTCTTCCCCACTTGGAACTGACCCAGAAGGACATTTCTTCCAACAGTCCCTTAAGACAGAGGTCTTCAAACTTGGCAGCTTTAAGACTTATGGACTTCAATTGCTAGAATTCTCCAGCCAGCTGTGCTAGTTGGAGAATTCTGGGAGTTGGAAGTCCACAAGCCTTAAAGCTGCCAAGTGTGAGGACCCCTGCCTTAAGGCATCTTTCCCAAACTTTGGGGCGTCAAAGAGGTTTCGGGATTACAAATCCTCATAATTCCTGAGTTAGGTGTTTTGAAGTTTCCCAGACTATTTTTTCAATGAACAAAAGACCAGGTGTAGAACGTCACAAATCAAACTTGCACATATTTCCCCCCATTAAGATCCCATATCCCACCTTGGGTTAATGGGGGCGGGGTTGGTAGGTATCATCTTGATGAATTGAGTTCATTTGAACTGGAGTTGGGTCTGATAAACTTACCTTGGGAGGGAACCACATTGGGGAAGTGGGTTTAGGATACATAAACATCCCATATTTTGGCTGTACCACTTTCTCAAACACCTCTGAAAAGAATTCCACCAGGTAACCTGTACCTCCATAACTAGACATTTCATTTTCAAATTGAACCTGCCAAAACAAGTAAAGAAGAAAGGGAAAGTAGTCCAAATAATGTCTATGGAGATTCTCAATCATCCAGGTCATAGTTGTCCAAAAGGTGCTTCTCCAAAAGGCAACTGGACTTTCTTGGTTTTTTTTCCTTTGAAAAATGAAAAAAACAAAACAAAACAAAACAAGGAAGTCCAGTTGACTTTTGCAAAAGCACCTTTGGGATAGTTCAAGGCATCTGTTGACTTCACTGAACGAAAACAATTGAGGAATCAGTGTCCGTAAAAGCCCTTAAACAGAGGTTAACAATTGTGCTTAGCCTTCATCCAGCAATCTCATTTGTGCCCCATTAGAGCAATGACGAAGCAAATCTCAGATAGTTACATGACGCAGCCTCTGAATGGTTCCCTACCATAATCCCCCTCCCACCTGCTTCAAAATCTTCTAAAAAAAAAAAGAAAAGAAAAGAAAAGAAAAGAAAGAAAGAAAGAAAGAAAGAAAGAAAGAAAGAAAGAAAGAAAGAAAGGGGGAGGGAGTCCGAGGGAGCTCTGAGCAGCTTACATAAACTTAAAAAGGTGGAATGTTGTAGAGATTCCACCCCCCCCGCTTCAGATTGTGAGTGAGAGATGGCAACTCAAGGGTAGGTCAGTTTTGGAATTATTTCTGGTTTTTCATAAACAGGAAAATAAATGACCTATACGGTCTCTTTTTGCTTGTTGCCCTCCTTCCCTCTCTTTCTCTCTTTCTCTCCCTCTCTCTCTCCCTCTCTCTCTCTCTCTCTGCTTTAATGTTCTTATTTCCCTTCCCAAGAATACCACCTCAACCTTTGCAAACATTCCCCGATTTTGCAGTTTTTAATTCTTGGTGGGTTGAGAAGGGTTCATTTTGAGACTGAAGGAATGAATAAATCCCTTTTGCCGATCCCAAAGGCTCAGACCATTGATCTGCGTTTTTTTTTATTTTTTTTTTAACCTTACTGGTTTAGCTATCCTTACTAGCTCAGAAACTTTGCGCTTTCCCAACACAGTCTGAACCGAAAAGTTGGATCGAAATAACACAATAAACGAGTGGAGTCGCATTAGGCTTTGGCTAAATTTGGGACTTTTTGACTCCACTCTTCGTGTCTATATATATATAATGTATTTCCCTAAGATGCCATTATGGGGGAATGCTGCCAAATGACAACATGATGTTGCAAAATCGTTAGAGGTAGAAACCATTCAGCATTCCCGCTCTCTATCCTGCAAGGAATCCAAAGGATGTTTGCATTCCTTGTTTATTGTAAGTTGTTTTTATGTGATGATTTGGGGACTGAGCGGCTCGCTTTTCCTCTGCTTTCAAAGGCTGCAAGATCTGTTTGAGGAGCTGACAGAATGGGAAGGAAAAACAAGGGTGCAAATTACAGGTAACCACGGTCCTTCCTGGAACAACAATAATAACAACAAAAATACTGGCATATGCTCAAAACAAGGAGAACTTCAAAACCTTTCACTCCTTTGGACACTGATCTCTTTGTAGCTGAGATTCATTTTAGAGGGCATAATTGTTTGCTGGATGTGGTCCTGTCATTGTGTTTTAAAAATTAAAATTTTATAATAAGCGATGGCAGTTTAGATGGTGAAATTCCACTTAATGGTCCTGACCATTTTGATTCCCCCCAAAAAGAAACATAACTTTAACCCCTCCAACCCTCAATTCATTTTCATGTGTTCTTTTATTTATTTTTTCCTGGAATTTGCAATGGAGGTAGGAATGTCCTGTATCCATAGGGTTTTTTTTTTTTTTTTTTTTAAATGTGCCTATTGTGATTATGGGATGGCAGGCCACCTTGTTATTATGGATTCAGTTCCAGTCTCTGGAGTGACATTTATTTCTGATACGAAATACGATGGGTGCAAAGATGATGATGACGATGTTGATGGTATGAAGAAGGAGGAAGAGGAGAAGAAGAAGGAGAGAGATTCCATTCTAAGGATACAAAATAAATAAATAAATAAATCCTTAGTTGGTACCTTCCTTTGTTCCTTTACCAGAATCCATCAATCAAGAGAAACGCAAGAGGATTTAAATTTAGAAGGAGAAAATTCTAAGGCCAGAAATTGATTTCTTGAATTCCAGGTTTCTGGTATAAAATCTACGTCCTTTTTTTTTTAAAGTTTCCTTTATTTCAGCAATTATTTAAATCAAAGCGGACTCCATTATTATAAAAGCAAAGGGAAGCCAGAAATTGACCAAAGATTTCACTCAGAAATTTTTTTCATACTGTTTCTGCTGGTTTTGTCTCCTTAGATACACCGTATGTATTTCTCTTGCTAAAGTGAGACGGTTGTTAAGTTAATTTTGCCCCCATTTTACGACCTTTCGTAACCGTTGTTAAGTGAATCACTGCCGGTGTGAAGTTAGTCATACGGTTCTTAAGTGAATCTGGCTTCTTCATCGATTTTGTTGGTCAGAAGGTGTTCTGTCCCAACTACGGACCCCAAAGAACGCAGCACACACAAAGTCCGTTCAAACCTTAGTTTACTAAATAAACCAGTTTTTTTCAACGGCTGTTAATTAACTGCATTAACAGCCGCCAAGAATTCAAAGAATAATACTGAAAGCTTACTGTGGTTGACAGAATGCCCAGAAGCAATTTGCAGGAAGCTGATAAGATAAGCAAGACAAGACACGAAGGTATGTGAACGAAGTTGTTCCCTGCAAATTGCTTCAGTCGGGGTTCCTCCTTAAATAGGCTAAGGGAGTGGCCAATTAGCCCCAAGCCTTACTCTCAAGGAAACCTCCTCCTGAGGAGTCACGCCTGCCTCCTAGCAGCTCTGCGCGCCCATGCATCGAGAAGAGGCTCCTCATCTTCTTCCTCTTCACTTATGGGAGCTTCTGGAGGTTCTGAAGGCCCTGGCTGAATCCCCGTCTCTGATACCACATCTTCTCCAGCCTCCTCATTGTCTGACTCGAGTGCCAGCTGCACAGGCTGCTGGCGTAGCACCACACCAGCCTCCTCGCTGTCGGAATCAGCTACTAGCTGCACAGGTTGCTGACGGGCCACAACAGAAGGTTGCAAAAGGGGATCACATGACCCCGGGCTACATCATCAATACAAGTCAGTAGCCAAACATCTGAATTTTGATCACGTGACCATGGAGATGCTGAAATGGTCGTCAGTGTGAAAAATGGTCATAAGTCACTTTTTTCAGTTGTAACTTCGAATGGTCACTAAATAGCAATAGTACTTAGACTTATATACCGCTTCACAGTGTTTTACAGCCCTCTCTAAGTGGTTACAGAGTCAGCCTATTGCCCCAAACAATCTGGCTCCTCATTTTACCGACCTCGGAAGAACAGAAGGCTGAGTCAACCTTGAGCCAGTGAGAATCGAACTCCTGGCTGTGGGCAGAGTTAGCCTGCAATACTGCATTCCAACCACTGTGCCACCACGGCCCTTTTGAACTGTTTTAAGTTGAAGACTACCTGTATTATTTCAAGATATCATTTCCTGACAGCCATGGAGGGGAATCACCACCTGATGAGCTAATTTTACTTTACTATAAAGCTATGTTGACAATATCTTGCAAGCGTGGAAACACAATTTTCCTGCTGTCTCTTTTACAGCTGAGGAAACTAGGGAGGGTTTCTTCTAAGCCTTTTAGCCGGCCCACTATGCAGCCAAAGGCTATGTTGTCTCTTATTAGACCTTAGCAGGTCAAGGTTTATTTCACCTTATTTTTGTTGGCTGTGTGGCTTTGCCTATCTCCCAAGGTCTTTCCCGCATACCATCACATCTCCTTCCCTAATTAAATGAATCAAATTATGTCTTTTTTTTTTAAAAAAAGAAGACACAAAAAGTTCCAATTTACACACACACACACACACACACACACACACACACACACACACGGCTATCTACATCTCTTTCCTTTGCTCACTGCCAAAAACTTCCCTTTGAATATCTAGGAATAATTTCAGTGGTGGGATTCAGCCGGTTTGGGCTGGTTCAGGCGAATTGCTTGTTAAATTGCTGTCTGGCCCCGCCACTTCCTGCCCCTTCCAGGAGTCCTCACGCGCCTCATTTTGGCTCCTGGGTAAGTGCAGGGAGGCCTACTAGGCCCAAAATGGGATGTGGGGGCAGCGCAGCTCCCACACACTCCATTTTTGCTCCCAGGAGGCTGCAGGGAGGCCTACTAGGCCCAAAATGGGCTGCGGGGGGGGAGCATTGCCCCCCCCCGTGGGCCGTATTTGTTCCGGGGGGGGTGCAGGAGGCTGAGTGCTGCCTGTCATACCCCCTGGCCACGGCCACCATGGCCACGCCCACCCAGCCGGTCATTAGGGCAGAGGACCGGTTGTTAAATTATTTGAATCCCACCACTGAATAATTTCCATGGGATGAATTAAGACTTTTTCAAAGAAAGGCAATGATAAGAGGAATGGAAAGCTGAGATACAAATCCAGGTAGAAGGGAAAGGAGGAAATGCCACGTAGAAGAGGATTGGCGCATGATTTTGCCCACTGAGGTGTCATATAAGAGAAGACGTTTAGCTATACTGACTTTTAGCTATACAATATGGGATGAAGACCCTTTGAATAGTGTGGGAGTAGGAAGGGATTTCCAGAGAAAAAATTGCAGACTACAGGAACTAGGAGCACCACTCAGGTGACCCTGAGGACACAGATAAACCTCTAAGTGTCCTCAACGACCCTTTAAAGGATGCAAACGACCAAGCTGTCTGCAAGGAATATAAATCCTTCCATTCTCCACTGTCCCGTCAGAGCTGAAGAAGCTCCTTGGATGAGAAGCAAAACACCTTCAAAAGAAAAAACAAGAAAGACCAGTTGCCTCCTGAAAAAGCACCATGACCTGGATGACTGAGAATCTCTGCAGACTCATGTAAGAGAAGCTCTCAGATCAAGGCTGCAAAAATACCATTCACCGCAAGAGGGCAGCAAGGAGCCACTCTTATTTACCTCTTTGCTGCCCTCTAGTGGTCATTCTGATCCTACTGAGCCCAGATCTGATAGCCCGGC